ACCCCTACATAATCCCAATATATACCCTATTACTGTAGCAAAGAAACGGGTGAGCTCTGGCCAGTTGCAGGATCGATGCGTTGAGGTGGTCCAAGGGGGGAGAGTGGTCTGCGAGCCCCCAGAATAAGGGCTCAGGGCTTGGGATTTGGGGCTAGGGTTCAGGAAGATACCCTAAAGTGCACGAAGAGTGTCCTTACATGAGTGTTGGTCTATACTTTAAGTAAGGGCTTGGGATTTGGAGCTATTGTGGTCCACGCGCCTTGGACCTACCTTCCTGGAGAAGCCTGCTAGCCAATGCTGGGACAACCTGGCTGTGACATACATAACCAGGTTGCCGAAACTGTGCCTAGAATGCAATGTGCAGACTTAAAGAACCCTACTTGTACAATCCTGTCGGCCGCCCCCAGTTGAAAGCACCCCTTGTTACTCGCAATTTGGAGCTTCAATATGCGTACACACATATCTACTACTTGCAGATCCCAACCTACTCCATGCATAGCTCCTAGAACCAGCGAAGTATCAAGAGCTCAAAGCGTAACACACACGCGCGATGAATCCATACAAACCTTCTAATTATTGTAGTTCCCCCAAACAATGGATGGAACCCCAATATAAGCCCCAACATACTATAGTCCCTATTATGGGATCCCCCAAAAGAGTACCCCTAATTTTGGAAAACCCCCTTAAACCCAACCCTGAACCACGAGCTTCCCTTCTTGTCTCTCTCGCACAACAAAAACGCATACAGGCAGCTGGTTGTAGTTGTGATATACCCAACTATCTGCTTAAGGGGACTATAGGCTTTAGGGTGTTTAGAGTTTAGGGTTAGGCCCATGCTTGTAATAGCGACCCATACGATACCTGCATACTCCAAGAACCTTGGCTACTAATCCAGAGCGCAGTTCACCCTGAACCCTAACTGAAGTCTCCTTGACCTTACATATTGCGCCTCAAACCCTAATACCTATACCTCAAACCTAATAATTACCTTAAACCCTAAACATTTTGCCGATGACGGAAGACCCGCACCACCCAAGGCAACCAGATCCTAACCATTGCAAAAATTCGGGACCGCAAGGTGGAATGAGACTTGGCTTTCAGGCCCTACCACGCCTAAACCCTACTTGAATAGCATTTTTGTGGTGTTTGAACCTAAAACCTAGTAAGATTATATTCCTCATATAAGATACTATACCCCAAAAGGAGAATATTATCTTATTCTATATTGGGTACCATAGTATCCCAAATAAAATACTACTCACTTGAATTTGAGGTTTAAGGTTTAGGGCTTAAGCTCTACAAGTCAGACGATCTCTACGACGTTTTCCAAAGACCCGATGGCCTAGAAGAACTGTTTTTGAATTCCATGTACTGTGTGTGAGACGCAGAATTACCAGATGTTGGGGAAAACCCATTACCAATTATTCATCCTAAACCATGACTAACCCCTATCCTACATCGAACAAGACCAGAAAATTCTGGATCCTAGCCCTACATCCTAAGCCTAAGCCCCAAACCCAAGTCTAAAGCCTAAACCCTCCAGGCTCAGGCCTAAAGGAAGTTGTGTGGGGGGTTTGGGGTTAGGGCCACAAAGCCCCATAGCCTTAAATTCTAGGCTTTCGCCCCTAAACTTCAGATCTTGCTGGTCAGTTCTGGAACCGCTTCAAAGAGGTCCGTGACGAGCCCGTAATCGGCGACCTGCCGCGGATTTATGCGTCAGGTTAAAACCCATGGGCCCCTAGTATGAATGGGCCCTTAACCCTAGCATCCTTATTTCCCAGCTATATATCCTGTTTGTACCCTTAACGGTCTCTAGAATCCCCCCTGAAAGGCCCAGAGCCAACATAAGGGGCCCATGCTTCTAACCTTCGATTATAAGTACAGGAATCTACCCTGAAGCCTTGGGAGGTACTTGGGGGAGTATCTGGTCAATATCCCAAGGTTTTAGGGATTCGCTCCAAAGGGTCGTACCGGGTGTTAGTAATCTCCTCCCAGATTTTATTAAACGCCCGCACCCCCCCTAATATTAAATACTCCCATTATGTGGTATGTTGTAATATATTGGGAGTACTTAATCTTACGGGGGGAAGGGGGGTTTAGCGTGTGTAAAAGGTTTAATGGCCCTGCAAATCAGAAATTTGACACCAAGCTCTGGTGAGAAGGTTGGAGTTCATACCGTTTAGGTTCATCTTAACTTACCACAAGACGGTGGATACTAAAAATCCTGCATGACCCTAAATACCCTAAACCTTGGGAATAATGGTACTATAGTATACTAAGGTCATGGCAGGATTTTTATGATCAACACTAGGTATTTAGGGTTTAGGGTGTAGCGATTTTATTAACGCAAACTGCGGAATGCTCCATGCTCATTCTGATGGAAAATGGATTCAGACACGAGCTTGCACCGTCTCCAATTATAGTCCGCCTTAAGTAGATAGAATATGGCCTTAGGTATGCTAATAAGATCCCGATATACCCCATATTCTATCTACTTAAGCGGGACTATAACTGCTTCGAACCCTAATTGTCAATCCTTGCGACCCCAAACCCTATATCCCCCTAAACCCTAAGTCCTCCCTAAACACCAAATTCCGCAGAGCTGTGCTCCAAACCTGCCATTCTCGTTTGACACTGCCACTAACCCGTGAAGGAACCACAGTTCTAGGTGTGCATGGCTCTGTTTCAGAGGGTTCCTAAGCTGTTTTGGGTAATGCCATTGTCCCAATATAACCCCTATATAACCCCAATATATACCCTATTACCGTAGTAGTTTCCATTTTCTTTTCCATTATCCCAATATAACCCCTATATAACCCCAATATATACCCTATTACTCATAACCTCGTCACAAACCAGTGCTTAGTCTTCATTCAGAGCACATACACGGTTTAGGGTTAGGGTTTAGGGTTTAGGGTTTAGGGTTGAACCAGCAACCGCCACATCTATCAATCTCCCCCGAACCCTATAAGCCCTAAACTATAAGGCCCAAGGTTGGCGATATTAGCATACTGTAGGCCCACCCCAGGTAAGGTTTACAGTGGTAGCTTCCCAAAAATTATAAGGGGACCCCCAATGTAGACCCCCCCTTTTTCTAGATGTCCCTAAATATGAGGGGACCCAAATATAGACCCCCCCTTTTTATAGATGCCCCCCAAAAAGTATCCTAATTTTGGGAGCCCCAGGCCGTAGGGTTAGGCTCTAGAGGTTTATGGTTTAGGGTTTAGGGTTTAGGGTTTTGGGGCAACAAGCACGAGAAACCAGCCTGGAAGATGGGTGCATCGGCATCTTTGTTGATGGCCACGATGGTCTTGGAGTCCTACGGTGGCTACTCAAAGCCCCGCATGACCCCAAGTACCTTTTTACCTAGGGAGTTTTTGTGGCACTGTAGAATACTAGGTCACGCTGGAATTTTGGCATCAACATTGCCATGTGCAGAAATAGGTTGAGGCACCTCTTGTTTGTAGAGCACGAAGGAATACTCCTGGAAACATAACCTACAACCCGAGAGGCAAGGATTGTCTGGGTCTTTGGAGTTCTCCTTGTTCGCACGAACTAAGGCTTGTGGTCTTCGGCGCAAAGTGTTGACGACCCTACACATGTATATAAATTCAGGCTCGCCATACGGGTGTTTGTCATACTTAACTTAGACTGCGCCTTTAAGCCCATCCTTACGTTTAAGAGGCCACCTCGCCACCTCGCACCCCAGCAAGAGGGACTGTTGATCATGACAAGCCGTGAACCCTGTGCACTGAGTCCGTTAACCCTTGCATAATCCCCACATCGTCTCGGAACCACGCACAAACCCACAGTTTTTGAGAAATCCGCTCAGCCGGACCACGCCAGGTTACATGGTAGACAGTCTTAGCGGTTCGGTTCAAGACAAAGACTTTGGGATCATCCATTCTCAAGATCCGACCCCAAGGAGGCTCTCAGGGGTGTTTATAAAGGGTATTGGAGCAAGGAAAGCTAGCTGACGGGTATTTCGGCCTTGTGAGCCTATCTAGGTAACCAGGGTTGCGTTAAGAATGCGGTTTGTGCCTGGGACTAAGTGGGTCATACAGCTTTTCACATCGAAGAGGCACGCCTCGAGTGTTGAGTTCTGCTGTCCAGGTATTTATTGACCACTCACAATTACAACTGGTTTCAGGGCGTTGGCACAGAAGTGACTGTGTGCTCGCCTGCTTCAATAAAGTCAATATGGTCGACAATAATACTGCAATGCAGAAGAAGGTTGCGATAGTACCAAAAGTGACACCTGGGCAAAATAATGTGACCCCGGCCCTTGCCCTTAACCCCAAACCCCAAACCCCTAGACCCTATAGACCCTAAACCAGTTTACCTACAAACCCAGGAACCTATTGGTCAGGTACCTGGGCCGCCAGAGATAATCATAGCCGAAACGAACCCCACAAATGGCATCAACGCCCTATAAATTGTAAACCCTAAGCTCTGAACCCTAAGTCCTAAATCCTACGCCAGCAAAACCAAGCCCCAAATCCCAAACCGGAAATCTTACACCCTAAGACCCTAAATCGAAAATCCAGTTGCCTTCATCCCGGCAAGGTGTTGGATGGCCCCGCTGATGCCAACAGCAATGTAGAGCTGTGGAGCCACTACCTTCCCTGTCTGGCCCACCTGAGCGTTAGCTTAGGGTTCAGGGTCTAGGGTGTCGGGCTAATGTAGACCCCTGATTAATAAACCTCCTCCCCTTAATAGTAGTTATAGTATGGATCCTAATTGATCCTAATAGTTAGGCCCTTGAAAGGAGGGGCTGTATCAATCATGGGTTTACATTAAGGTTTCAGGGCTTTGGGTTTTAGGGTTGAGGGTTAGGGTTGCAGGGTTTAGAAATGCAGGTCTGACCCACCTGAGCGCTATGGTGTTGTTGACACTAGAAATCCTGCATGACCTTACTATCCTATGCCACAACTCCCAGGTACAGAGGGGTCATGCAAGATATTGTTGTCCCCACCCGTGTGGTTGAGGGTGGCTTTAGGGCTTTAGCGCGTAGGGTTTCAGGGGTTAGGGTTGCTGGCTTCGGGCTTTGTGCGTAGAGTCTAGGGTAGGCTTTAGGACATAGGGTTTAGGATTCAGTGCCCCTAATATGCGAAACAAAAGACAGTGTTTCTTGGGGGTTGAACTAAGCGCTTGTATTCTTCTCACAGAATACTATACCGCTCTATTTTGGAAAATGTAGGCTCTCCATTACAAGCACCACTCGCGTGAGTGGGTACATAGGATTGATAACGGTTTATGGTCTGAAGGTTTACGTTTAGGGGTTGTCTCAAGACTTTTACATCCCGCTTGTGGGGGGTTCACGGGGATGTACTAAGACATTTTGGGATATAACACTAGCTATGTGTCTCTAAAACAGAGCGGAAAGGGAGAGAGAGAGAGAGAGCGCCTTCTAAATTCTCCGGGAAAGCGATGGGGCGCTGGCATTGGCACTTCTACTTGGAGTCGCTCTAGATGAGCCCTCTGCAAAAAGGCTACAGGCGAATGTTATTGACCAACTTTTGACCGTAGATAAGCAAGCGTAACGGTTGGAGGTCCAAGGGATGTAAAACATCCACCCTAAATCCAGGGTTACATTCCCCATGCATTCATGACGAAGATGCTGTACATGACCTGCGCAGTCGGCTAGAAACCCATCACGTCATCCATCTGAGCAAGGTGGTCCCTCAAATTTGAAGTCATGGCGTGGCAGCTGTAGCATCACTTTCGAAACCTTCAGAGTTGAGGGATCTCAGGCCGAAACCAAGTGCTCTTGGGATTTCCGCAGTGTGGGGTTTGTGCAGGGATGCCTAACTGAGGGTGTTTCGAATCAAGGAAAAGACTGCCGAGGACTACGTAATCGTTTTGATTTAAGCTGTGCAGGAAGGCGTTGCGCTGGGAGTAATATGAAACCAAATGGGCCATTGCTTCAAAGATATGGTAGTTCCAAGAATAGGGGGACGCCAATATGGACCCCAAAATACTACTAGGCTAGGGACCTCCAAGCAAGTACCCCTAATTTTGGGAAACCCGCATATCTACCTTCACGTACAAAATAAAAGACTTGGCTGCCCCCCGAGCCGATCTCTTGTTCCTCTTGTATCCTTATGAGAAAACTGCTCATCTGTATTTGAGCTATAGTCTAAACTCCTAGTATCCCCCCTAATAACTCCTATAATAGTCGCCTATATAATCCCCTATATAACCCCCCTTAAGGAGTTTAGACTACAGCTCATTTGAAGTTTTGTAGGTTTTGAGGTCTTGAGCTGATGCCCTGGACCATACTTACATGAATACGAGTACCTTGCTGTGTGCTAGTAGCCAACACGAACCCAAAACAAAGAAACAACACCTGCACCCCCCCACAACTACACGTATATACCCCCCACCCATGCCTTTTCGCCCAAACCTTCCGCACCAAGGACCACTTCGTGCGCCAAACCCACTCAACCTTATAACACCCTGGACGTGGAACCTGAAGCCTTCTAACTTCTACAGTCCAGAACCCCACGCCGCTCAGACACCCATATCCTAAACCCGATGTTCACACAATTTTCGGTTTAGGGTTTAGGCTCCTAAACATCCCTAAGCACTGAACGCCTAAGGCCTAAACCCTAAGCCCACCTGGAGTTCATTGGGCACGAAGCCTGCATCCACGGCCGCACGGCTGGCGCCCAGCGCCGCCTTCCCGTTTTGGTCTTCACAAAGTGTAGGTTTTGGGGGGTTTAGGGTTAGGGGCCCAGGTAGGGCTCAGGGTTTAGGTTAGGTGGACCCCCCCACACTGTAATAGTGGCTATAAGGAAGAATAAGGATCATATTAGGGTGCTATTATATTCCTATTCTACCACTCTTACAACGTGGAGGTCCACGTGAGGTTTAGGTTTTATGTAGGGTTTAGGGTTCAGGCCTTAGGCTCCAGATCTGCACTTCTTGCAGCCTTTGACCCCCAGCAAACCTAGAACCTCCGGGTAATGAATGTGCTTCGCGCGGGCAAAACGATTTCTCTCGGCTTCTACCAGTAAATAGGTTCCTAGATCCTTGCAAGGAAATACATGGAAATATGCGTGTATAGCTATACACTAAGAACACGCATGGTAGTAACCTATGCGCTGCACTCATGAGGCGTGCCCAATACCAGACCCCATCCCAGAAGCCCTGATAACGACCCCAACCTCTACAATAGGGGCCATATGAGGGTCATATGGCAGTCATACCCTTAAGCCCCTAGACCTTAGGCCTACCCTATACACCCCGAACCAGACCCTATAGACATCAAAACCCTGACAAACCCTACGCCCTGAAATCCTGAAAGGCCGAGAGCCCCTCATCCTGAAACTCAAAATGAAACCCTGATCCCTAAGTTGTGAAACTTTGAACCCTAAACCATGAAACCCTACACCCTGAAGCTCTAAACCCCGAAGCCCTGAACCCTACAACCCACAGCTTAAAACCTTAAATGCATTGACCTCCATGTACCTTCACCCATGAAACTTTAAATCCCTACAGTCTACGAGCCTGACTCCATAAACCTCTAAATATCAAAGCCCCACAGCCTGAGCCCCGAAATCCATGAACACCTACCTGAATCCCAAAAGTATGTAGAACAATAATATTTTACCTAGCTTTGAGGTCCAGGTACAGCCCCAAACCCTAAACCCGAAACCCTAAACCCAAAACCCTAACCGACCTCGAACCTTAAACCCTAAACCCCGAACCCTCAACCACAAAAGCAACGAAGGCCAAAAAAAACACCAAAAGCCACACAACCCTAAACTCAAAACCCCAAACTCTAAACTCTAAACCCAAAACTCCAAACCCAAAACCCTAAACCCCGAACACTACACCCAAAACCTCAAACCCTAAACCCCAAACCTTAAACCCTAAACCCCAAACCCGAAACTCCATTAGGTAGACCATGCCTTGAGCTTATCGCACAATGGTTCGAGAACCTGATCCACCCAGGGTCTAGGGTTCGGGGTTTAGGGTTTAGGGCTTTAGGGTTTAGGGTTTTAGGGTTTAAGGGCGTCGGGTTTAGGGTTTAGGGTTTAGGGCTGGGGGTTTAGGGTTTTAGGGTTGAGGGTTTAAGGCTTTAGGGTTTTAGGGTTTGAGGTTTAGGGGTTGAGGTTGAGAATCGGTTTGGGGGCTTTAGTGTTTGGAGGTTTTTAGTTTAGGATTTCAGGGAGCTAGGGTTTAAGGGGTCAGGCTTTGGGGCTCTAGGGTTTTCAAAACCTGGGGATCATAAATAGCCCCAAGTAGGGGTACCTTAAACCCTAAAACCTACACTTTAGGGCAAGAATTAAGTACTGTATCATTTTCGGCTCTTAGTTCATGCGTTTCGGACATTTATGTAGAAGTTTCTGGGCTTAGGAGTTTATGCGTTTGGGAATTTGATGTAGGAGTTGCCGGGCTCAGGACCTTATGAGATTGATTTAGGAGTTTTGGGTGGGTGATGACATCATGCTCTGGAGCCTAGGAGCTAGCAGCTCAAGCTTTTTTGGCTCAGGAGTTGTCGGGTTCAGAAGCTTCAGGGTTCGCAAATACTGTGGATGGAGGAGATCTTCAACCACCTTATATCCCCTGTACCCTACCCTAGGAATTACAGTAATGTAGGGTTTTTTCAGTGGGTGCAAGATTTCCTCAATCCGCTGCAGGATCCTAGAAATATACACATCATGGGGGGAGTGGCTCAACAGCGTGCATTAGAAGCGCTACGTGGACGTCGATAAGCTTTAGCGATCAGGCCCACAACCCTAAACCCTAACCCTAAATCCTACACCCCCCCACCCTCCTAGCAACCCATACTCTCAAACCCAAGACCCCGACCCCTCGCTGTTTATCCTAGACCTTATAAGGTGTAAAACCCAAGCCCTGGCCTCAAATTTCTGAACCCTGAGCCGCGGAGGAGACCGAGCTCTAAACCCCCAAGCTCAGGCTTGGGGGGCCCTGGAGATTATTTCTGGCTTTATAGGGATTATATAGGAAGTAAAGGTAACAATATCTATTGTTTGTCATACCTACCCCCGTACAGCCTACACCTACACACCCTATGTAAACTCGAGATGGAACTTGTATCAGCTGTATATAAGAGCTGAAGAACCCTGAACCCTAAACCCTCAACCCTAAACCCTGAACCCTAAACCCTCAACCCCAAACCCTCATGCCTAAATCTGTCTCGCCTTCTCGAAGTTCTCGCCGTTTTTCAGGCCCCGCCCCCCTGCAACCACTCGGCTTGCCTTGGCTTCCCAGTGGGATTTAGGGTTTAGGGCTTAGTTGCTTTGTAGGACCCAGGATTTAGGGTTTAGCAGCTTTTTAGAAATTCAGGGTTTAGGGCTCATTTTTCTTGTTAGTAAGGATTTAAGGATTCGGATTCAGTGTTCAGTGGTCCTAGGATTTAAGGTTTTGGGCTTAGTTTTTAGAATTTAGGGTTGAGTTTTTTGGATTTAGGATTTAGGGCTTCATTGTTTTTAGGATTTAGGATTTCTAAGGGTGTGTATAGAATTTCATACTCGTTTTATATAGGGTTTACACAGGGTGGTTACTTCTTCTACGGGGCTGTCTGACTACGGTTTGGGGCACAGGGCTCTGAGGCGTTGCTCTTTGGTCTTAGTGCTTTGCGGTTAGGGGTCCCGATATATGAGCTACACTCCACATTTCCCAGATAATTAATGGACATGGGTTTCGGGACTATAATAGGGACCATGCTAAACTACAAGAAGGACCCCTATGTCCGCCCTTAATGGTCCCTTGGTATCCCCAATATTGACAGTAGCTCCTATAGTCGAAACCCCTTAGCATCCCCTTACTAACCCCTCTAATACTCCCCTATAAGCTCCCCTATAGAATCCGCCTTTAAGGAGTTTAGACACTAACCCTAAACCCTAAACCCTATATGTAGTCCCCCCCTTTAAGGAATTAAGACTCTAGCTCAGAGGGGCCCCCATGAAAAATTCTGTGATTTTGGTGGTTTGGTCTTTTCCTCTCAGCGCACCTCGCCATGAAATCTGGACTTTAGGCCTCACTTTAGACTTCAGGATTTTGGGGTTGGAGCTTGCGGGGTCAGTGTTTTGGGTTTAAGGGGTTTAGAGTTTAGGGGTTTAAGGTTTACGGTTTGAGGTTTGGGCTTTATATGATTCCGTCTTGAGAATTGGGAGTTCTCAGGGTGCAGGGTTTACGACAGCTAGCTCTATGGGTGAACGAGCCGTCTGTTTCTCGTGGATTGCTGTAAGCGCCAAAAAAACAAGAATAGGAGATGCTATGATGCATAATCATATGGTATACAAGATCATAAAGACCTAAAAGAATTTACTGGAAACATCCACCACTAAACCCCAAATCGCAAGCCCCAAGCTCCAATCTCCGAATCCTTAGCCCTACGCTATAAGCACGTGTGGAGAGAGGTTGGAGAAGAGGGAGGGGCACGTGGTGCAGACAGATATGTTATGTTCTGCTCCCCAAACCTGGTCCAATCCACAGCATATCTAGGCTGTAGGAGCCTTGATAACTACTAGATTCTTAGAGCCTGGAGGTCAAGAACTCCGAGACACTGAGCTCAAAACACTCGACCTCTCCCTGTAACCCGTAAGTTCCCTACATGTCATGCCCCCAAACGCTAACATAAAAATCTACTTGGTGCCTGGTAGAGGTACCGCAAGTAAGAATCCTAACCCTGATCTGTACAATCCCTTGAACGAGGATGTCGGCAACCACAGCCCCTGTAATGAGGACCCAGTGGGAGTCATGGGACGGTCAAGGGGTCTTCATGTTGGGGGTTGGGAATCAACGTTATTAGAAAACGACCCTAACCCGAAGCTCTACATATGCTTCCCTCCTAGCCTGCTAACTAGGTTCAATCCAGAAGCCCAAAGCCTCTAAACACCAAGCCATCCAACCCATAAATCAGCAAAGCCTTACCCAAACCTTAGACCCTGGTGTTGACGCAGGAAATGGTGCACCATCTACGGTCCAAGCCTAAACCCTAAAGCCTGAAACCCGACCTAAACCCCAAACCCTAAAAGCGAAAGCCTGAACCCTAAACCTTAAAACCTAAACCCTGAACCCTAGACCCTAAACCCTAACCCCTAAACCCCGAAGCCTAAACCCCAAAAGCCTAAAACCCAAACCGTGCACCTTAAACCCAAAACCCAAAAACCCCATAGGCCCCCAAACTGCATGGGCCCTAAACCTAAATGGCAGTTTCCATTCTATTTTTCCCTTATCCCAATATAACACCTACACAGCCCCCATATAACCCGATAAACCCTAAACCCTGAACCCTAAACCCTAAACCCTAAACCCCTAAAATCGAATAAAACCTGTCATCCCAGCTGCGGAGTTCAGCTGAGGTTTGTCGCTCTGAGCCTCGGAGTCCTTGAGCCACTGGATGCCTTCAAAGATATATGGGTCTAGGGTTTAGGGTTTAGGGTTCAGCATCTCAAGTACAAGCATACCCTAGTAAAGCAACGAGATCAAATTCCAGAGCAATACCCACCCGCCCATAGGGTCCCCTAACATCAGGAAATGAAAAGCTCACTGTTTTTGCCGGCTTCATCTCTTTCTGCCACGCGGCATCGTCTCCACACAGCTCGGAAAACCTTAACGCGGCCACATAACCTTCACTTAACATCAAGGCAATCATTTGGTGGTTTCATTTCGTATACAGGGGAGGCTGGCATATTGAACGTTCAATCTCATTCGCTGTCGTTCTCAAAAGCAGGTCTAGTTTTCATTAAGCGATGCTGCACATCTGGAGACGGCTAACCGCCAAGTCAAAGAATAAGATGATTGCGGGCTTTCCCTTTGATTCCAACAGCAGATTCCGTTGTAGATTTCTGCTAAGCAGGTATGATACATATCAAGATAAGAGATTGATGAACTCCCAGGCAGAAGAGTCGGATGCTATGACTAGTTCATCGTCGCGCAACTCAGCCGCTGAAGATGCTTAAGCTTAAAATCGGTACGAAACAAATATACACACGTAACTACTTGGTGGATTCTCATGTGCAAAATGCGCAGTATTGACTAGCTACGGCATTATCATAAATTTGGGCACTTTGAATTTCATTTTGCCTGGGAAAACGGTGTCCTAGACGACGTCTCGGGCGTGCGTTTTGGGGACGTCCCGGACGCGTTCGGGAGGCATCCTGGCGTGTTCTGGGGGCGTCCCGGGGCGTCCCGGGTGCCGGGTCCCGCGTGAGGGGGCGTCCGGGGCGTCTGTCCCGGGGCGTCCAGGACCGTCTCGGGGCGTGCCGGGGTCGCCCCCGGACACCTGTCCCAGGGGAGCCCTGACACGCCCCCGGGACACCTGTTACAATGCTTGCGTGCTTGGATGATTCCATCTACTTCACTTCCAGGCATGGGACTGTGGCAGGCCGATTGCTACTGCATTCAAAATCGCATCTAGAGGCCGTTGGCATGTCTTGATCCCCTTGCAATTTGTGGTTGACGCTTGCTATTGGAACTCTGACCCCCGCAGGTGTTTGGGTGAGTCCATCCTTTCCAGGCATGGTACTATGGCAGGCCGGTTGCCTCTGCGTTCCAAGTCGCATCCAGAGGCCACTGACATGCCTCGAGCCTCGTTTTGTTTGAGCACGCCCAATACCCTAGAAACAGTGTCGCCCAAAACTCTGAAAATATCCAAAGCCCAAAGCTTTCTGCTGGATCAATGCAGCTCGCATAATCCCCACCCCACCCTGGAACCAACTTTTAGAGGGTCACGTGCCAGCCCTTCGACACCCTGAACATGTTTCAGGAATTACCTTTACAGAAGACTTCGGAAAGCACGCCGCAACGCCCAACTCCCCGCTGTTGGACCAATGCAGCTTGTATCAGAAACGTGGCCCCAGAAAGGCCCCGGCGCATCTGGAGGCAGGGCCCTGACGCCCAAAACTCTGCAGCGCAAATGGTTGCAAACCCCCACCCCAACCTAGAACAACTTAAGGGTAAGCTGTGGGGCCCCTGGAAGCCCTGGAAACGACCATTACAAATCAGATTCACCTTGATGCTCAGGTAATCCTGTAGGCCTCTGGAAGGCCCCTGGAAAACCCTGGCAAGCCCTGGCACGTGTATTTGTGAATAAGATCATTTTGACCTTAACTTGTGTCACAAGCTAAGGTCAAAAATTGACCTCGGTCACAAATTAAAGTCAATTTGACCTTAATTTGTGTCACAAGTTAAGGTCAGAAATTAAGGTCAAATTGACCTTATTCACAAGTAGATTTGCCTTATTCACAAGTAGATTTGCCTTATTCACAAATCAGACGTGCCTCTTGTGAATAAGGCAAATCTGTTTGTGAATAAGGTAACTCTATTTGTGAATAAGGTCAATTTGACCTTAAAATGGACCTCGTACACAATTCAAGGTCAACTTGACCTTATTGACAAAAAGATTTGCCTTATTCACACTTAGAGTTGCCTTATTCACAAAAGAATTTGCCTTATTCACAATTGCCATTAAAGTTTAAATATATATATATATAGGTAAGAGAGGGTTTAGGATTGAGGGTTTAGGGTTGTTGCTTTAGGGCTTACGTAGGGTTTAGGGATTACCAAGACCCCCCATGGACCTTCTTGACTGCTTTATTAACTGTCTTGGACCATTCGTTTTACCTGCTCTGCTTTTCAGGTCACGGTAGGGCTTGGGGCTTAGAAACTTCTGCGGAAGCAGGTTCATGGTTTAGGGCTTAGGGCCTTTCCCTAAGGGTTGTGTATATATTTGGGGCTCTAGATTCAGGAATTGAATTTCAGGAGATACCTCAGTCCCAAAAGACCATCCATGTGTGAACACGATAATATGACACCTTATATCAGACCCCAAAAGTAGAAGTCTTTTGGAACTAGGGTCTAAATTTTAGGTGGCTTAGGGGTTTTGAGGCGACAGCCTATTGGCGCAATTGCTTGGAGGCCCAGTCTCCCCTGATGAGAATACTTGCCTGGAACACACAGACACATCTGCGGTGTATCCTGCGCTCGTGTGCAGCAGTCAACACCATCCCGGAACACTAAACCGACAACCCAAAACTTACTGGAGCTCAAGGGAGACTTAGCCCACATTACCCTAGACAGAATAATGATCCTTTTTACATATAGATATAAGGAATTCCATACCCCAAAAAGTATAAAGCGCGTCCTAGTCTGTGGGTCATCCCCAGCGTTGTCGTGTGAGATGGCCACTGTACAGCGAATTAGAAATTAGGCACGATATCCGTCAGGGAAGTTGCAAGGCCATGGCCAGGGTTTGGCATGAGGATCCCTAACATTGATCCAGGAGAGAGGGGGAGTGCAGCTCTAGAATAAAGTCCATATCACCCTTTACTTGTTTTGAATATCTCACGCCTCCAAACCCTCAACCCTACACCAAGTTCACATGAAGCCTTGGCCTGAGCGGGCGGCCTACTAAAATCCACGAATGAATCTACTAGTATTACATAGTAATATAGTATTCTATAGTAATATAGTAATACAGTAATATAGTCATGTAGTAATATCATAATATCCCACAGAAGAACCAGAAATTTCTCCGAAACTTTTGCTAGCGTCCCAGTAAAGGAAAGAGCTGTTAGCCCAACCAAAACACACAGCAGCGAAACCTAAACCTGGTCCACCCCGCGATTTTGGATATGGTAATCATGAATTATTGTTATATATCTATACAGTAATACGGTGAGGAGTTTGGTTAGAGGCTCTTGTCGAGTTGAAGGTTCAGGGTGTGGAGTTGAGAGTCCGGGCGGAGGGTGTCGTGTCAAGGCGGTGAGTTGAAAGTTGCACGCTAGGATCTAGGGTTTGTAGGGCCTGCAGCTCATTAGGGTTTAAGTTCAGTTTGAGTTTTGGCTTCAGAGCCAGGTTTAGGGTTTCACGGTTTCAGCGGTGTGGGGAGTAAGAGTTCGGGTGGATGGCTTGCGGGCTTGCGCCTCAGGACGAAAGGTTCAAGGATTAAATTTCCTGCATGACCTTAGTATACCATCACATCATAATGCCCAAAGTTTAGGGTACTTAGGGTCATGCAGGGTTTATAGTATCCAATGCAAGAATATGTATCTGCGACTGTTTGCGTGTTTTGCGGTCGCCTGCTGGTTCAACCAACCAACACTGATCCAACACCGCAGACAGATATGGAATCTAAACCCCAAAGCTGTAAGCACAAGACCCTACCTAGACCCTCTAATGTAGTACTTTTTGGTAGTCCTATTAAGAATCCTAACCAAAAAACCATAACAAACCCCAAAAGGAACTACGTTGGAGGGTTCAGGTAAGGCCCAAAACAAACCCTAGACCACTACGAGCTCGAGCCGAAACTTGGGGGCCGTTGGCGGGGGGGGACAAAAAATAACAAGTAAACGGCACAACCAGGGAGTTTTCATAAACAGGCGCCACAATACAGACCTTCATATGCTGTAACTCGTATTTGAGGCGCCCTGTTTTTTGGAAGCCCTAAACCCCTCAACCGTATATGTGACATATATATATATATATGTGTGTATATATATATATATGTATATACACCTGAGAATCCCCATATAAACCCCATAATTCCCTTTTCAAATGACCCGGAATTGGACACCTCAAGCCCCCTGGCCTGCGCCCGCACCGGGCTTCACGTCCAGGGCCTGCGACTTGGAGGTTCGTGGGTAGTTTAAAGTAGTTTGGGGCTGAGGGTTTGGGCCTTAGGGTTTGGGCTTCAGGGTTCATGTCACTTTCCCACTCTAAACGGCAACCCTAAACACTAAACCACTACACCCTCAACCCCAAAAACCTAAACCCTAGACCCCTAAACCCTACACCCTAAACCCCAAAACCCTGAACCGGAAACCAGAAAACCCAAAACTCAAAACTTCAAAACCCGAAACCCAAAGCCCCAAAACCCTAAACCCCCAGACCATGTCCGCCTCCACGGGCGCCGCTGAGGATGCTGCTCCCGCGGCCTCTCTCTTCACGGGTTTAGGGTTTAGGGT